TGCTGCGGTGTAGCCGTCCCCTCACCGCTGCCACCACTGGCCGTCCTTGGGCCAGACATCGCTGTGCTCCGTCGCGGTCAGGTCACACCCACAGACGGTGGAGGTCGGGCAGCTCGTTCACGGATTACGTCACCGAAATCTGTCCGCTGGAGGTGGAGACATTAGTCCGATCTTCTTCGCCGGCGAAACACTGTAGGTGCCCGAATTTCTGTTTACTGACACTCGTCTTTAGTTTATAGGTCTCCTTTAAGTACTTCACTTTTGATGGTCTTTGGTCAATATCATACCTGGTCCATTTCGCGGGTCCTTTACAAGATGGCCGTCTTTTAAGTTTTATCACTCTAATAAGTTGAAATCAAAATTCGCACCTTTTTCCTCTCTTGGCTCAACCACTTTTTCTTGCCCTCAGTTCCAGTCTTTACCACAATTCGTTTGATGTACGATGCTTAGGTGTTTCTACACACACGTCCTACCGGTCGGCGCTGAGCTCCCTCACTGACAGACTCACTTTACACACACTATCAGAGCTGAAAAACGGCTATCGGTCACGAGACTAGAGGTGGAAGATCACAGATAGTACCGCTCCTCGCAAAATGGCGCCTTGCAGTTACTAACGTATAATTTCCATGATAAGTTTAGCCATCAGTGATATTTACTATTTACTATTTGTCTATAGGGGAGAGTGGGGTAAGATGCCCAGGGTGGGAAAGACGCCCCACCCCCTCTAGCGGTGAAACAAAGAATCGAGCCTGGAAATTAATGTTCTTAGCATAAAGCGGAAGCCTGCCTTGTTAACTGCACAAAAATTTGCGAGGCTCAGTTGGGCAACGGCTGGCTGGTGATTGCATGTTTTTTATTTGCTGCTTTCAAAAAATATTTTGGTGTCAAAACATTGTAAATATCAAAGAAGTCAGATAATTTTTGCGTCCCTGGCTATAGTCGTGATACATTAACATGCGTATACTGTGTCCCAAACAGTTTGTTTCAGGGTGTAGTTTTATGGCTAACAAATTGTACTGTTTTAATGTTACTTCGGTACCTCGGGGTAAGATGCCCACTGTCCTGATGGGGAAAGACGCCCCCCTAAATCCGTAGGCTGTCCTTAAAGCAGCCCGTCAAATCATTTATTACATACTTGTGATGAGAGACAAAAGCCGATCTGGGACTATTGAGAGCCCAGTACTCCCCATGCCGGTCTCTCGGCCCACACAGCGACTTTTTGGGCGGCATCTGACTCTGAGAGCCCTCACGACGGCCTCTGTGGGCCCCATTATTGGCTCCAGGTCCCCTAACGACATCCTTTGAGGGCTCCCACGTTGGCTCCACGGGCCGCGCTGGCATCTGAGGTCCCCACGATGGGCTCGAGGGCCCTCAAGCATCATGAAGACCTATAAGGGCCCCGCAGTGGTCTCCGAACACCACCACGGAGGCTTGTTTGGGCGCGCTGAACTATGATGGCCCTAACGATGACCTCTGAAGCCCCTTACGACTACTTTTGAGGGCCCTTACGATGACGTTTGGTGTCTACTGCAGGCTCGAAGAGACTACTGATTCGTTCAGGCGATTCACGTGCCCATTTATGTCACTTATAGTGCAGGGGGCATCTTTCCCAACGCCAGGGGGCGTCTTTCCCACCCTGTGGGGTAAGATGCCCCCTTTCACTTCTTCAGGAAAATGCTTAATAGCAAAAAAAGTTATCATATTTCAGGCACGAAAGTGTGATATTTTTGGAGAAAAATGATGTCAGCTTCCATTGAAACTCCAAGTTTTTGCTTTCGGATCATCATTTTCGAATAATATATGACATAGTAAAACCCTGGGCATCTTTCCCCACTCTCCCCTATATTGCTTGTGTTTTGACTTTTGATACGTTCCAATCTTGTAAGCAGTACTACAAGTAACAATTCATGAACAAACTGTTGCAAGCCTCCTCAATGCTGAATCATCATGCTTTGTAGAGCCGGTGGTGGCGCCACTGCGATAAACGATATCTCCTATCAACAGACTACGGAGTTGCCAGCGACGGCGGCAATGGCACAGGGGAGGAGACTCTGAGAAATACATGGCTGCGGAATCGATGGATTTTCGGCGACTCCGTCTCCGACACTGGCTTCAAAATTAACTCCGACTCAGACTCCGGTCAGAATTGCTCGCTCTGGCCGACTGATCGACTAGAAAAAATATAAATCATAAACGTCAAAACACGCCCTGGGGTGTTGATATTGTACAATGACTTCTTGTTATTCTATCCCATTTTCAGGGTTGTCATGGCTTGAATGAATGTTCCAATACAAATTGAACGTCTCTGGAAGCCGGTAAAACACTGGCCAGTGGCCACTGACCATTCACTATTGCAACCAAAACACACTTCTGCAATGCTGGTGTTTCGTATAAACGTGTAACGAAATCACCCGAATCAGATGGTGTATTTTGGCAGCTCATTTGCAGCTTCAGCACAGACACAAACGCTATAGGCTATACCTAGCGACCTCACCGGATGGGAATCGACACTTAAAGGCTCCACTTTTCCGCATCAGGCACCGGTGGAGAGCGGCAGCCATATTGGTATGACCTCTCTCCCGCAATATTAGGTACAGTAACATCAAGAACAGACAGACAAACAAACAAACAGACAGACAAACAGACAAACAGAGAGACAGACGGAACCTACAGATACCAACACCAGCAGAAGCATGAGTGAGAACAACAGTTATACGATTCCATTTGACATTAATAACCCTCGCCGGACCTATTAGTTTTCTACCAATATACGCGCCGGCTGAGGGGGGTAAGACCCCGTCGCCGTTTCGCCCCTGATGGAGCTCGAAAAAAACGAGCGTGTGCGCCGTTACGAGACGCAGCGACTGGTAAGTACATTATACATACCCGATTTTAGAGTGTCATGTCAACCGCTGACCCTTGAGGTCAGTTCAAGTGACCCAAGGTAACTACAGGTTTATTTTTTATAAATAACTTCGCAACAAAACGGTTGCAGAGCCGCGATTTGGGCATCATCGTGTCCGCCTCACTGAAGCGTCTCCAATGCTATACTTTTTGCTCGGGTGAGGTCAACTTGGGGGCGTTGGCCTCGGATCAAGGTTAGGTCAGCGCCCCCAGGTCACGAAGTTCGTCAAAGGAGGTCATGTCGCATATCATTCGATTTGGCAGGTCTTTCTGAGTCCATTGGTCGCTTTCTCCACTCGCTAGCTCAATGGATGAAAAACTCTTATGACCCAAGTGACGTCATAAATGACGTCACGCAATAAATGACGTCACGCAAGATCATAATGCAAAAGTGAAGCATCGGATCTTGCAAAAAGTGCAAGAAATCACGATTCCGTGCGCTTGTGATAGCTTAGGATCGTTCCCGGTGCTAAAATAGCAGTTTACATAGACCGTGCAGAGCTTCACTTCATTATGACGTTATAGATTAGTGGCCTTACCTGACCTGAAAATGTGGTTGGTTTCACAAGATGCGGCTTGGATCAAAGATCAGATATGCCAAGTTTCAGCTTTCTATGGCCGGTGTGTTTGGAGCTATCGCGAAAAAAAAAAAACTATAAGAGGCGTCACCAGCCCCCCCCCCCCCGCCCCCCTCGGCCGGCGAGGGATACGTCTGCCAACTGTCGCAAGTCTGTATCTCAAGGCTTAAGTTTTATATCCTGTGGAGCCGGTGGCGCCACTGCGATTGACGATATCTTATCAACAGACGTCGCAGTTGCTAGCGACGGCGACAATGGCACTGGGGATGGGGGGGATTCTGGGAAATACAGGGCTGCGGAGTCGGTGGATTTTCGGCGACTCCGACTCATACTCAGAGACTGGCTTCATAAAAATTAACTCCGACTCCAGTCAGAATTGTCCGCGCTGCCCGACTCGGACTGACCGACTAGAAAAAATGTAAATCATGAACGCCAAAACACGCCCTGGGGTGTTTATATTGTACAATGATCTTGTTATTCTATCCCATTTTCAAGGTTGTCATGGCTTGAATGAATGTTCCAATACAAATTAAACGTCTGTAAGAGCCGGGAAAACACTGGTCGCTGGGCAAACGACCATTCACTAACGGAACCAAAACACACATCTGCAAGCCTCGTGTTTCGTATAGACGTATAAAAACACACTAATCAGCCATGGCTTTTCTGTGTATTTTGACACCTCATTTGCAGCTGCAGTACAAAAGTACAAACGCTAGAGCGACCTCACCGGCTGGGGAGCGATACCTTTCCCGCATTACTGTGGAAAGCGGCAGCCATATTGGTATGACCTCCCTCCCGCGATATTAGGTACAGCAACATCAAGAACAGACAGACACACACAGACAGGAGCTACAGGTAACAACAGCAGCAAAAGCTGGGGTGGAATAAGGCCGACAAGTCTACTGTTGACATTAGATTAGACTAATGACGTCACAAAAAGCCCACGTGACGTCAGCAGGCTTATCCGTCCTGCGTTCCGACACAATCTTGCAGACGGTATCGAGGTCAGCCGCCATGTATTTCGCAATGTCATAACAATCATGTGCAGTCAAACGCCGAAACAGAAGAAATAAATAATTGTGTCTATAGTGGACCCAAAACGCCATGTGTCGATAGAAAATGCAATGCTCATTACTTCTGAATACCTAGCTGCGTACAATAGAAGGATTCGAATACCTATTTAGCGATCTATAAAGGTGACAAGGCAACCTAAATGTATTCTGCGCACACGAAACATGAAGAAAATAATATGTTGAACATACTAGTTCTATCCCTAGCACACACTTCACTGTAGGAAACACTTCACTGCAGTGAAGTACAGTGCACTGTAGGAAATGCGTCAGACTGTATGAGTATGATAATATGAGCAAATCGCCATTCGCAACTATCCACAAGCCATGTTAGATAGTTCTGCGAGATAACTAAGGTGAAATCAGATGAGAAACACATCGACAATTACCCTCTATTACAGCGATCATGTCACACAAGCTGCTACGAGCACCATCACACATGACAATCTCAACTATTTAGGTTACATTTATTACCATACCGCAATATCAACTTTACAAGCAGGATCTTGGCAAATCTTGTGTACAGTGTTGCTATCAAAAGTATCAAAACACATACCATCGCGAGACCAACAACAAAAAGCGTACTGGGGCTGAAGCTCGGTTCACATATCACCATTAGTAGGTCTGTTGCGTGCTGGAGGATGCAGATGCGTGTTGGATTTGTTTGGAAATGGCTGCCGGTGTGATCCAGCCTGGCAGTGGAGTTCATACATCACATGTCACGCGTCACGGCTCTGGCGTCACGGGTCACATGTCACACAGTCACGGGGTCAATGAGACCCAGAAATGGCGGTAAATTCATGTCTGTGCATAATACTTATGGCCGGCATGTTGATAACGTCAGCAAACAAGACAGGTTGTCATGACAACGGCTCTGCAATATATATAGCCATGTATGAGTGGAACGTAGTGCATGTTTAGCAAGGACTGTCATCAATGATTGGTATGAAAATAAATGGCACGAAGCATAGCTCATCATTTCAGCGATGAGGTGAAACAAAAACAACACACACAGTCAACGGTTCTACTGTTCTACGAAGTCAACTGTTCTACGCATTTAAAGATTTCCACTCTCTCGTATCTTTAAATGGTATATCAAAATGTATCAAAAGTGCAAAACCGTTGGTCACTTGCTTGCGCAGGAATTGTCCAAAAAAAAAACGCGACAATAGTTGACCAGCACCAAATGACAGTGAACACTAGCATCCAGACTTTCCAACCGCAACAAAGGCCGGCAGCAAGATAAGCTCCTCAAAACAAATGTGAGAATTTATCCGGCACTTGCATGACTGGAGGTGATGGTGCTATGCTCTTCTAGAACAAGGTTAATTTAGATGAGGGCTTACATAAAGTGGCATATAAAAGGAAGTTGGCGTACAGTTTACTAAATTCCGTAGTAAGCAAGCACGAAAACCGTCGAAAAGAAACGAGAGATGCGCACAAAATACATAGAACGCGTATCATTTCAAAAACATATCAATGAGAGATCTTCTCGGCAATCAAGTTATTTACGCGTCTCGCTCTTTTCTCGTTGCAAACCACTTTACCACTCAGCAATCTTCGTTCGTATGTTTTCTCCGTGGGTACTGGGTACCTTAGTCCATGCCATAACGCAGATCAATACTGCCTAGCTGAACCACAAGTCCACAAGTTCTCACAGTAACTCATATGAGACTTGATGATGACAGTCGACAGGTATACCGTAGGTCATATGTGTCCTGGTATTGACACTACTGGTCAGGTAGGGTCACACATACCGTAGGTCGTATGCGGCATCTTACGGACCACGATCTTACAGATGTGACATCTTACGGGCTCCGTGATAGGTCAGTCCACACCCCCGTTCGGAAGGTCGTGACGTTCACATTAGATCAAATAAGGTCAGGTAAGGTCACCGGCAAGCTCAGCTGAGGTCACAGGTCAGGTCACCGGTGATATTCAGATGTCCACCGAGCAGCCCCGACCTGGCCTCCCATCCGGGCCTGGCTCAGACATCTGTGAAAAGAATAAGCCGTGTCACAAGAGCCATCCAGATAACAGGCTCGATTATGTGGCTTATTGGTACCTACAGGCGCGGAAAACGCCTTCCTTCAGTCAATGGTGCGTTAGGAGGAGATCATCGCTGCATATCTGTGACTGCCATGAGGTACAATAAAAATACAGGCCACAGGCTCAAATCAACGGCAGGTAGGTCCACACATTGCATTGATCATGATGTTCAGGTTAATGTCAGTGCAAAGGATCCCATCAAAAACTTAGACAAAGTTAGAATCAAAGGCCCTCAGCTTACACAGAAAGCCTCGTGTTACAATTCGCAGACGTGGTCAGGAAACAAAGGCTTTATTTGTAACAGAAGCTCGATATCTCACCTGAGCCAACAGCCGACCTCGATCCAAACACTGGTATTCAGTACCAGAGCGGGGCTTCTGCGACAGCAGCGCCACCCGCGGCGAACTAGAGCTTGCTGATCGGGCCGACAGCTGGCTCTGACTGTCATCTCGACCGGCTTCTGTTGATAAATCGTGTTGGTGAATGGGTTATGCGTGATGAATGATGGAATCGCCAACGTAAGGAAACACCTTACCCTTACGACAAAATATCGTAAGGTGTTCCCTTACTTTGGCGATTGTTTTGACAAGTTTGAATGCTTTGATTTCAGTCAATGACTCAGTTTCCCATCTTTATTGTGACAACCGGCTATATTGCGACCATGAGATGACATTTCGACCCTCAGACATAGGGCAAATCTTCTGAAACCCTGCTTTCGAGCTGCTTAGTCATTATTGCTTGTTTTAGGATACTAAGCAAAGCCATTCTTAATTTGCAGCACCACAGGACCAAATACAGATATTATTGGCTAGGCTCGAGCCCTACCACTTACTAGGCCAACAGACACCGATAACTAATGTAATCTCTCACCTGAGCTAGACAGCTGAAGCGGAGGTATGGCCGGTGACGTCGATCCTGCCGCCAGTGACGTCACCGGGCTGTCCACCAGTGACGTCACGCCGGCGCGAGAGTCAACGGGTAGTGTGGAGGACCTGTCGAGAGTGCGGGAGATCGTTCAAGCCACCTGTTTAATAGCTATGCTGAAATGCTGGGCGATGTGAATGTGACGGCACAAACGTTTAAGAATCGTGCAAGGGTGGTCGCTTCTAACATGTAATTTTTTATCATGCCGGGTTATATATTATCATTGATTTTATCATGTGTGTACATTTTATAGGTATATACGCGTTTTTAGTGTATACTTTTAATTCGATACAGTATGATGATATATTTTTACTGTGTTCTTTATTATTAGCTGATTGTATGACAATGACCTCAGAATAGCCCTGTCGTGTGGATTTGTCTGCTTAAGTGAATACATACATACATACACATGGGTGGAGAACCTGCCCCGGCCACCCCGGCCGAGGCCGGGGTAACTTTCAGCCGACCCCGGCGCGGCCGGGGTAACTTTTTCCACTTTTGTAAATCCTAAAAGCTGTCTCCATACGAAAAAACTGCCATCTATAAAAGCGTCTCTCGTTATTCTTATCTACCTTGAAAAGTTCTTGAAATGTACTTTATTTTCATTTTGGAGCTTCTATGTTTTTAAGTCTTTTCATCGCGGAGCCCGACATGTTTCATCAAACAGAAGTATATCATATTTAAGGGCCGTTATCGTAAGATGGCACTGTAATAACATCACAAGACAGGACGAGGGTAATATCAGTGAGATAGAAGGACGAGCTGCTGGGGCTCAAGGCTCCCCCAACTTAACCCGCGCCAGGGTGGTGGCCTTATCGTAACACGTTGAGTCGAGAGGTGGGCTTTTCACGCTCCCTTTAACTCGGCTACTGGGCTACAAGGCGAGAAGCAGAACGACGTTTGAAAGAGCGACAAACGTGATCAGAGAAATATGGTCATGTTTTAGGCAAACTCAATAATAAAATCACCGTAGATCATCAAAAGCCAAATTTTTCTTATTTTAGCGTTCTCCGACAACTTTTCTCACAGTTCATGAACATAATGGAGCTTAAACACTGCAATCAAAACATTCGATTACGCGTTTAAGGCTCGGTCGCGAATAATATTTCAGGTGCGAGCTCAAATCAATAAGAGGGTCAAAACGGTCAAATTTGACATTTTGTTTTGTGTGGGAAGGTTGCAACTTCCACGGAATAAGCTTTGCAAAGGGCATGATGGCATTTTTAGCACGATCATCCAGCAACTTTGACCTGATGACCTGACCTATCACTAGGTGGCATGCGAATTACAATTACGAAATCTTCCGCACCTGCGTGCAGCAGTTTTCCCTAAAAACGTACAAACGGCAGACATCCATTATTCTATGCCACAGAATAGGAGTTTGTTGATAACCGTTGACAAATATTTGACCATCATCGTCTTTCTGACTTTCGGTCGCCGGCCGGGGTAACTTTTTCAAACATTCTCCACCCGTGTACATACATACAGATACTGGTGGTCAGTGAGGGTCGAGGTAGGCTGAAACGGCAAGAGATTCAGATGTTTTGCAGGCAACGATATAAAAGAAGCTATAAGATAATATTTATTCCGTGGCTTTTCGGGCTCAACGTAAAACAATAAAGAACGAAACAAATTAATGCATCACAAAACAGACGATCCTGAAAATAGATAAAAACCAGTATAACGCCTTTTGGGGCGACTAACGGAGCGAGCGAGAGAGTGGGCCTTGCACGTGCGAAATTGCGAGGGGGTACCTCCAACTGACTTGTGCACGGCACCCTACTAACTGGTCTCTAGCGATGTGCCAAATTTGGGCACAATCGGCCCAGCCGTTCTCGAGATCTGGAAGCGGCACCCTGCACGTGCGCACGTGCAAAATGGGTCCCAACTGACTTGTGCACGGCACCCTACTAACCGGTCCCTAACCGTGTACCAAATTTGAGCGCAATCGGTCCAGCCGTTCCCGAGATCTGGAAACGACCCCTGCACGTGCGCACGTGCAGCAGCACCCCAACTCTGGCACATGTATATGCAGTGCCTAGTGGGTGCCTACCTACATGCCAACTTTCAGCGCAATCGGCCAAGTAGTTACCGAGATATTGCAACAATTACAAAACTGACACCTCTTCGTTTTGCACGTGGCACGTGCATAAGGGGTCACCCACATGCATCGGGAATAGTCCAATACTTGGTAGAAGGAATGTAGCTACCCTACAAAAATTACCGCGTGTAAATCGGTCAAGTGGTTGCTGAGATATAAGCCTCGCAAAAGCGTGACCACGGCCGGCCGGCCGGCCGGCCGGCCGCTCATACTCAGAAATTTCCGTTAATCTAAGGAAAGACTACGCTCGCTTCGCTCGCTCCGTAATCAGGAAGGGAGGAAAAATCCAAGCCCCTCCAGTCAACACCCCGGAACAAAAGCCAAATTAAGGATGAAAGCCAAATGTTCTAACGGGGTCCAATGTGCTTCCCGCTCCCCTCATCGTTCAATCGAGACCCCATCTCTCCCCTCCCCCATCCTCCCCTCCTCTCTCCCCATCCTCCCGTCCTCTCTCCACTCACCTCCCGTCCACCACCGGGCCCGGCCCTCTCGCCACCACCAGATGTCTCAGTCTCTCCGGTTTGGGACTCGGCATTGGACGTCTGCCCAGCGACGCCGATCTCAGCGCCATCTTTTGGCCACATTCCGCAGAATGGGATCTTCGCATCGCGAGGCGACCCGGTCGACCAGACATGTCGAGGTAATCGTCACCAAGGGTGGGGCGGTTGGGACCACAAGGGGGACGCATGGGGAGGTAGTTGTTGGGGGGAAGGGATGTTTTGGGCTCGTTGGCGTAGAGAGGTTGTTGATGGTGATGGGGGTGATGGGGTTGAGGAATTGGAGAGCAGTTGACGTAAGTCGCTCCGTTGGTTGCATTTGTGCTTGTTTGTACTTGAATCGGGGAGCAATTCACATAAGTAGCGTCATCCTTCGTTGCTGCTATATCTGTGGCACTCGTAGATTTTGAAATAGGCGGGGGACAGGAAGTACTAGTGCTGCCACCTATATCCGCCGACCCGACAACACCGCCACCTATATTCACCGGCGCGCAGTTGGCGTACGCCGGCCCGCCATCAGGTGGCGCCACGTTCGCATAGCTCGGCTCCGTTGCCGGGGTCGCAGCCGGTAGCGGCGGAGGAGCCAGACCAGGAAGAAGAGGATAGGTCCGTTTTGATTTATCCACCACCGCGTAAGCAGGTCGGGTGGGCTGGGAGTAGAGACCGGTGTCCAAAATCTGTTCGGAGGGAATCTGGGGGCAGAGCTGATCGCCGGGAGCGGGAATCTCGATTTCACCTGAGGGAGAGGGGTAGAGGGGTGTCAGAAAGGGAGAATGGGAGGGTGACACAAGCAGATATTAGGTCATGGGGTAGCAACTAGCATACACACTACACAGTCGATACCTATCCCTGGTGCCGATCAAAATAGGTACGATGTTTGAAAGGAATAGTTATAACGCAAAGCAAGACAACAATTGCCGAAGCTGATGTAGCCGTTATGGAGCGTTACTGGATATTTAAGTGCACGATATCGTCTATTACCTCATACCAGTCGAGATTTACGATCAATGGCAGCCATATGAACCGAAATAAACCCATGGCCCCTTTTGCGAAAGCCGGTAGTTTGACCACGAATCAACTCACCTGTGTCCGCGTTCATCACAGGCATTCTCCCGCTTCCATCCACTCTCGGTTTGAGAGCCACTGACGTCTGCTGCCCTCCTCCACCGCCTGGTTTGAGAACCCCTGACGCAGCCTGGCTATGACCTCCACAGCTTGCGCAAGGACAGGCCGGTATTTTGTACAAACCATCATCGGCTTGCCGGGATTCAGTGCAGCGTTTCTGACAGACGTTACACGGCCTCGGGGTTTGATACCAGCCTTCTGCAGGACCTGGGTCTTCATATAGATGCTCCGAGACTCCTTCAGGGCTCAATCTTGTCGCCCCCGCGCCTGGAGTGGTTGGTAGAGCAGGACGGGGTCGGTCGTACCCACCCAAGGCCGGGTCAAGGTCATGGACTTCAGCAACCGTTCGAACGAGCCGCCCGGATGAGCCACAGTCGGTGATTGGTCGGTGAGATGAGTTCGGAGTGTTGATTGGCCGGTGGGTTGTGCCTTGAATGGTGATTGGTCGGTGCGATGTAACGCCGCCGTTGATTGGTTTCTCGCCCGGTTCTTCGTAGACGTGGTCGACGAATCGCGGCCCGGGTGGTGGTGAGGTGGGCGTGGCCTGTGGAGGTCAGGTCAGGTCAGGGCACGGAGGACCATGAGGTCAAAGGTGACTGACGGGAAAACGAACCATGTAAAAGAAGTAGAGTACCTACAAATAAATCTTTTAACAAGATAAGAATTGTCTTCTACGGTATAGTACAGGCCGAATTCCTGATTCTGTTGACTTATAATGGACAGCTTTGTAATTTGTTTATATTTCGTGTGTGCTCAATTGGTCAGCAATTGACATAAGAACAGCCCAGTGAGTCCCCGAATCTGACATACACATTGTAAAGCGAGGGATGCCAAATTATGTCCAGCTCATCTCGTTTTCCTCCACTTCGAAGCTCCCCAAAACTCACCGCATTTCGAGGCTCCTCCCCAACACCATCCAGCACTCCAGTTCTCCTAAGGCTACTCCTGCTGATCTTCACAGCGCATGCGCAATCAGCAGAACACCTTCGCACCGCCCGAGGCGATCTCATCCCAGAGCCAGAGCCGGAGGCGGAGCGGCCGCAGACGCCACTACCAAAGCCAGAGCCGCCGCCCGATCCGGCGGACGCGCGGCGGCCGGCGGCAGAGTCGGAGCCGCTGCTGCCGGCCGAGAACTCTGATTGGCCGTCGCCGCACGGACGGGTGATGACGTCACCGGAGGCAACGGCCGCCGGGTCGGAGAGATCGCAGTCGTCTGAGGAGCAGGCACTCCACTGGAGGAATAAAAGTAAGAGACGCGTTAGAGAATGAATCTATGAAAACGAGGGTAAAGAGCATTGGCACGTGATTGGTTGGAGTGAATCCCCTTCCCGTTCCAGCAAGGAATCTCGATTCACTGGAGCCGAGTCCTCCTCGAGATTCCAAAACCTTATCTTATTTCGCTTATCGCTTTGCTATATGTAGTATGTACAGTTAAAAATCATAGAAGCTTTCATTTGGCTTAGTTTATTCAGTAATTCATTATATTTCATTTTATTTATTTTTCTTTCGATTGAAAAAAAAACTAAAATTTCGTCAGTTTCAGGCACTACAAAAGGTTACGTGCTCTAAATACCTCCCCCCCCCCCCCGCTCAACCATTGGAAATCAAGCTTGGTTTGGAAGGTACGAGGCTCGAACGAAAAGCCCTAACGACAGCCACGAAGTTCACTAGGTCTAAAATGTAACAGACATCGACATATAGCACCATACGACTCTCGCACACGCCGAGACTGACCTGGAGACTGGACTGCCGGCACAGACCGCTCTCCCTTGACCTCGTGATGGTGCTGTCACGACTGCAGCTTCGTGACACGGTGCGTCGTGACAGGCCGCTCGGACTCTCTGTGGACGCCGTGATGTGACGTTACGTGACGAAAAGTGAAGCATCGTGATGAATGATGACGAATGCAAAGCTAACGGGTAGTGACGGACGCACTGTAAGCAAGCAATCTAATATGACTGGATTTGAGAGACAAGTCATCAAGAACAAGCAAAGGCAAGAGCTGTGTAGGTATATGCAAGAGTCAATGTCTATGTAGAATACTCAAATACCGATGGCCGAATACTCAATGACTTGATGTAGGTTATAGTGACTAGTGGAATGCACTGAACCCCAGGACGACATCACGGTCCAATAAGAAGCCTCAACTCTCATCCTATTTCCCGTAAAAGTCTTTTGTTTATTGCGGCTACTCAAATCCACATGCGCCATCCACTACCAGTCAGGGACGGCACCCACCCCATTCCTATTCCCTTCTGTTCTTTCACCCACTGTCCTATTACCACCCCATCCCCACCATTCCATCCTATCCCACCCCATTCCTATTCCCTTCTGTCCCTTCACCCACCGTTCTATTACCACCCACCCCATTCAATCCCATCCCATTCCATCCCCCCCTCCCCCCCACGCACCGTCCTGCTTCCTCGCCAGTCTTCTCCTCGCCTGGAGTCTACACTGCGCCGCCTCCTCCACCGCCGTATGAATGACGTCAGCCTGCCCTCCTGTGACCCCCAGCACATGCAGTCCTTCTGCACGGCCACAGCGGGAGCCGCCCTCGAGCACGTACTTGCCGTCGGCAGGGCCGTAGCGTCTGAGGGAGGGGAGGGGGAGGGGTGATTGATGGAAGGGTCGCGTGGGAGAATGGAGAGGGAATATGGAAGCAGTATGAGGAAGGATAGAACTGGATGGATGGCGAGGGAGAGTGAGGGAAATGGTATAAGGAGGGATGGCGAGGAATGGAATAGGGCCCTAGTGTGAAAAGGTGGTATGAGAGGAACATCACATAGTTAGACAGGGGCAATGTAGCATCATGCCTACAAGCAGGGTTGTGCTCGACTAAAAAAAAATGGCCGACTCGACTCATCATTCAACTTCAGAAAGTCCTGACTCAACTCTGACTCAAACAAGGAGCTGATTTTTTCCCTTGACTCGACTCATGACTCAAGCGGCTCAATGAAAACATGAGTTAACTCAAACTTGACTCAATTTTTTTTTGTTGAGTCAAGTGTGTTGACTCAAAATTGACTCAGATAAAAAAGTTGTCGAGCGGGGGGGGGGTGAAAAAAATCCGGCAGCAGGGCCAGGCCAAAGTTGTTAAGCGGGGGGAGATTAAAAAGCTTATATATTGTTTCTAGAAAGATGAGTCACCTGACTCATGTTCCTAGATGTTTTTGACTCAACTCAATGTCAAAAGTTATTTTACTGACTCAACTCTGGCTCAACTCAACACCTTAATATTTTTGTGTGACTCAACTCTCACTCAACTCAACAGCTCAACATTTTATCCGACTCGACTCAAACCTGACTCATCTGAGTCAGAGTTCAGTCAAATCTCTGACTCGACTCATGAGTCAAGCATAACCCTGCCTACAAGCAAAGAGATCCCAGCTCAGACGGAGGCATCACATGCTCCTAAGTACTGAATTTGCCGTATTTGCAGTACACTGAAGTTAAAACTCTGAAGGACTTGGCCTCTTATTCTCACATTTCCAGTGTGGTCAGTGCGACCAAAGAAAGACGATGTCAAAGTTGCATAACCCTGTATAAACCTGACCCCAAGCCGACATTGCTCTACCTAGCCTATTCTCCACAAAATGCTCAGCTCAGTCCAGTTTGGCCAGCCATAAGGGTGTCAACATCATACATACACTTCTGACCTAGCCTGATATTATCAACTCCCCCATAACCCGACCCAGGGTCACCAGCATCCCTCTCCTAACCTGAGGTCAGCGATGGCCCACGTGGCTGCCAGCCGGGGCGGCGAGCCCATCACCAGAGATACCCTGAGATCCTGAACATGTAGCCTCGCTGGTCCGGTGCCCAGTTTACTGCGCGGAGGTGACACCAGGAGCTGACCGGCGAACTGATGTACTGTCGGTCAGAGGTGGGGTCATGGAGGTCAGGCAAGGGGTGCAATAAGTTCATTCATTCATTCATTCATTTTCATTAATTCATTAATTAATTAATTAATAATTCATTCATTCATTCATTCATTCATTCAAGTTACCGACCAACCAACCAACCAACCAACCAACCAATCAATCAATCAATCAATCAGTGAATAAACCAATGAACTAATGATCCAGTATTCATTCAATCATGTATTCCTTAATTCATTCAATCATTCGTTCGTCAATTAGTCTAACTCACTCACTCACTCTTACTCACTTTACCTATAACTGCTTGACTGATTGATTGATTGGTTGATTGGTTGATTCTTCCATTGATTGATTGATTCATGCATAAGAGAAGTATAAGTCATGACAACGCACTCGTGAAACGATTATTATGCCGTGGGACTCGAGACAAGTCTTTTATCTTACATCATATAGGCGAGGCATTCTCAAACTCATCTAACATGAGACACTCAGCTCGGAGTGTCGGCACTCACCATAGGGCACGCTGGCGGCGATTTTGACCTGCCACTGAATGAGTGCCTCGCGTGCCTCAAATGCCAGTACGATGGAGTTCCCGTCACACAGGAGTGCCAGCGTATTACTCTCCCGGTCCAGGGTGAAACCTGCGGAAAGAAGAAACACAGGGAATCATACAGGGTCGTGTAGTTATACTAATTCATGCATATCGAAATTAAAAAAGTGTTTCAGCACATGTCTCATTCAGCGAACAGCCGCAGCGCACTCACATACTTGCACAGTTGGCACAAAGGACCCACGTATTTTATGTACAGAAAGCTACCCTTTTTCTCGGCGTGGTCTCAATTCCATTTATGCCATCATTTTCTCTCAGTTTCACTGCAATGACCATCTCGATCAATTAAAGATTATATCTCGCTTTCTCCCCGTCTTCCCACACATGTTTGCCTCGATACCTCTAAGATTGTCTTATCTCTTTTCCTACCCCGACCCATTTCGGTAAAGCGTCTCCCCTTTTCCTATCTCTCCGGAACTGACCCTCTTTTTAGTCCCATCCATTGTCCTTTTCCCCTCATCTTCCCCCCACTGACCTGTTTCGATAGCCCGGAAGTTGTCCAGAGACAGTGAGGCCTTGCTCTGCAGACCTCGGGGTCCCTCCTTAAACAGCTGCAAGTGAAGAGTGTCTGTGGATAAAGACAACGACACGCGTCAGAGGTCATAGTCATAGGACTTATGACGGAGGTCAGGCTTCATGTCACGGCAAAAGTGTCAGGAAAGGAGCGAGAAGACCGAGAGGTTAGATTAAAGGCGAGAGTTCGGGTCAAAGGTGAGAGGTCAAGCCAAAAAAGCGAGGTCAGGTCAAAAAGGCGAAGTCTGAGTTCAGGTATTAGAGGTCAGGTAAGATGTTGGATCAGATATATGGTCAGGGTCAGTGAGTCGAATTTAAGGTCAAGGTCTAGGGGTCACAGGTCAAATGATGTTACCTATATCAGGTGTCAGGTTTCATTACGAGAGAATACACAGTTATGGAGAAATATGGAGACAATTATATGGGGCACACTCGGCTGGAGAAATAAAACGGTTCAACATTCGTTCAATGTATAGGAAGAGGAACATACAACACATAACCTTTACCATTTATCGGTCCTTTATGCAAACGACGTTACCTTTTCAAGTTGACCATTAGAAAACGAGCTCACGAGCAAACTTTCAACGAAAAACTGTCGGAAACAGCACTTGGTTTCGAGAAACAGAGTGCGTCCCAAACACAAGGGATTCTTCTTATAAACAATGACTCACTATCAAACAAACCAGGCCCAAAGGAAGCACAGTAGGGCTGGTCCCAGATGGATCCCGGTTCTGTCCACCGATTCTCTTAGCCCGCGAGTTGCTGGGGGGGGGGGGGGCGTTAAACGCCCCCACTTTTTTTCACCGGGCCATAGCATAAAAACGGCGCGCCGCAGGCGCGCCAGATTTTGGGTATCTGTAGGGAATTGATTGAAGTTTATTGTGACAAAGTTTCAAAAAAATCGGTCGGAAAATTTTTGAGATATCGAAGTTTTAGTGACGTCATGATTTCTGAGTTTTCGACCAAAAACGGTATATGTTCAAAAAATCATATAAAATCACAGAATAGACATACAGACATGCCGTAAACGCCATTAGACTGCCAATACCATGAACAATCAAATGGCTATCTTCGATTGTTGATTTTTGTTCCGCATTTTCCAAAATCTTGAAGTGAATCTTGGCAATTTCTCGTGACTACTTCACGACCATGATACATGCATTTCTTAAATTGAACTTTTTTAGCCAAACACGTACACATATGGTAAAATGAATGTCACCATCGTGTTCTACGCCCCAAATTACCCATAAAACATGTGTCACAGGCTGCGAATATCAGTTTTGATTTTCGGGGATATGTGCCTGCCCGGTTGACCTGACCTTGACCTATGCTTGACTGACCCCTACATGGAGCTGACACTCTTGTAGGCCTTATATGATGGATTGTGCACTGTTTTGACAGAGTTTATGACGAGAGGCGCCCTTTGCGAAGTCCTGAAGTCCATGCTACTGAAAGCCCGATTTCAGGTGTTTGACCTGACCTTGACCTGACCTGTGACCTCAAAATTCAAATTTAAAGTACTCATCTGAAGCGTCTCGTCGCGTTCTTTCGTTTGCCGCCTCGTGCGTTTCGCTGCGCCTATTGGTTCTCGAGTTATCGGCTGGGGGCGTTTAACGCCCCCCCCCCCCAGCAAACGGTGGGTGGCGAAATACCCCAGCAACTGCCGGGTTAGTGTCCGCTCGACATCTATCTAGATGCGTCTGAGGCGTGACTACGCACAAATTCGGTAGTGCCGACGCCCAACAGAATGAAAATAAATTGGGCAAAGTGTCGTCCATCGTCTAAATGCAGCGTGTCGGATATTATATAGCCTTGGTCGCCCGGACAGTTGACATGCTCGTCACAGTTCACATGTGACAACTGCGGACATTGACGATGCGACAAGTTCAGGCATAATAAAAACAGACTTACAATGGATAATTCTCCTATTCTCTCCCTTCCTACATCCTCTAGTCTCCCTCTCCCCTGTTCCTCCTCCCTCCCTCCCCTCTCCCTCCCTCCTTCCCTCCCTCCCTCTCCCTCCCTCCCTCTCTCTCCCTCTCTCTCTCTCCCTCTCTCTCCATCTCTCTCTCTTCCTCCTCCCACCCATTTTCCCTGCCATAACATCCCTCCATCCCCCATCCCCACACACAGTCGGCTGGCTCTTTGTCCAGGGCATCGACACCGCCCGCATCGATCCCCCCCCCCCTCTCCAGACATCCCCTAGGGTGGACCACGTGGTCCGTCGGCGTCCACCGGCCGAACGTTGGACGCGACGGTACGTTTTCGACGGTCGACGGTCGACTGGACACTGGGAGAGTCCTTGACGACGGGACAGCGAGGTGGGCAAACGTGCTAAACTGGCCGCGAACTGCTCAACGTGGGACCGTAAACCGTTGCACGGTCGCGTGGCCATTTCCTTCTATGTTTGATCCCCGTAACGTTAAAAATGTCTCTATTATGGGGAGGACATGGGTATTTATTGGGCCCTGGCCCTCTTGTCCCCTTCTCTTCGCTCTCATGCTATCGCCAGTGGTGATAGAAATACGATCATATGACCAACATCGTATCAATAAGCGCTGAATAGTCCGGAGGTTGGTTGCTTTTTCATGCCTCATTCGTCATCATCCAGTCTACAGTCCACACACGACACACATTCACACCATGTGAACGCACCTGTCATCGCTTTCAATCGCCGCACGCGTGTGACCTCGCCCCAGCTCCCACCTCTCTGTGCCACTGATAATTCAGTGTTCAAGCTCCCTTATCCCATCCCCAACAAGCCTTTGTGACCCTGGGTCTGTTCCAGTCACACTTCCTAACACCTCCAAACTCCTCCAAGAGCAAGATAGGAGGTTGGAGCAGGGTCCTCCTTGGCTTTGTAGGGGCTAGAGCTGCCACTGGAACAGGGAAGCAATCTTGGAGGAGTTGAGCGGTGTTAGGAAGTGCGACTGGATCAGACCCCTGACTCCCCTCTCCTTGCAGCCGCCCCCGAGATTATCCCTGCGACCGCCTCTGCACCCCCCCCCCCTGGATAAACATACAATCTCAGTGTTAGTCGCACGTGCACCCCCCCCCCCCCCCCACCACACCCCCGACCAGCGGGGGGCGTGTTACAGAAGCAGGCCAGCCCCCCTCCCCCTCCCCGCTCCGGCTCGTAGAAAACCAGGTGCTGGTTTTGTTTATAAACCATCTCCGGTTTGCGTTTGCGTGATATCGCCGAACCTTGGATCCAAGCCAAGACAGCAATCACAGCTTGAGCTTGTGAACAAGGTAAACTAAGGCTATTGGTGCATTAGTAATTGATGATATAGGTACCTAACGCTAACAGCGTGTCTAACTACATTTGTGTATTTACATTGTAGCTGGCTATCATAGGAAGGCAATGGGCATGCTATAATCTATCTGGCTCTCCTACTCTTGCAATGTGCTGTGTATGTATCGTTGCAATGTTCAGATTAAATGATGGGTTAAGCCGCCAGTATGAACCTTGGCTCCTACATTGTTTATAAGCTACGGTATGTTACGCTTTGCAAGCTGTGTTTGTGTGATGAGCTGAGCCAACGACGCCTATGTGCATCCGTGCCTTCAAGCACGGAGTTTTTGATCACTCCGCTGCAAACGGTAGTGACAACCGAGATGATTTCTTATCGTGTTTATGTCAGTCCGGCTGGTATTTCTGATCATATTGATCGGTGCAGTCTTATCTCGAATGATTTATCATATTTATAGAACAAGTCATGAATAGCTCGTATCATATTTAACTATCTGATGTGTAGGTATCCCGATTATTTGCAATCAGATAATGCATATCAATTTAAAACAACGATTTGGTACAACGAATCCTTCAAATGTCGAGCCAATAGGTGAGGCAATCAAAGACGTTCTTGCCTATAAACTGTTTAATAATTTGAGCCTATACGACTAAAAACTGTTTATTTGTGAAATATGAACGTCTTTCCGTTACCTACAATACGTTTATCAGATGGTTTTGTAAACACGAGCGGTTGGCATATTTTATGGTGGTTATGTTGATTTAGAACTCGCTCTCATAGCCCACCCACAACTTGTGATACTGCGAGAGACCCACGTATCTAACTTCAAGTCGATAAGAACCCCAGCCCCACGTATCATCTTATCTGCCACGGGTGAGAACCGCCTCAGCTAACTTGACGAGATGACGAGAGTTGAACGTATCTTACGTGCGAGTTCTCGCGAATCTCACAAGTAAGTGAGTATGCAGATTAAGTATAGGGTAACCTGAAGCAAGTTATGACATAACTAGTAAGAGTAAGTTAGAGTAGACATAGTAAGAGTAAGAGTAAGTATTAAGTAATATGAGTACCTAAGTTCAGTATCCGAAGGTTGGGACTTTTCAATTAAGAACAATCACTATTCTTTAGAATTGTGATTTTCTATTGAAAATCCCAACCTGAGCTACCTCTCTAGGGGGGTGTTTAGCGTTTCGGCCGCGATTTTGGTCATTTTGACTCCCGCAAAAACGGCACGGTCAACTTTCTTGCCATTTTCACCGTTTGGTCCCCTATGGGGGAGCTACCTTGTGGCAAAGTTGCATAAAATATAATGGGCCCGTTTTGGGGTAATCGGCACGTGCATTTTCCCATAGGGTTAACATGGGGAAAAATTGGAAATTCGATTTGCGAAAAATTTCGTCAATTATATTTGCTGATATTTTTAGGGTCGGATCTAGGGCTGGCACCTCAACTTTTGGTGTTAATTATTTAAAAATCATAGGATACAATTTCGGGTAATCTTGACGGACAGTTACCCCATGCTGAGCCTACGGCGATTTCAAAAAATTATTTTCAAATCAATTTTGCCAAAAATTTCCACGTTAGATTTTGAAAAAGTTCCAATATGTTGTGCACCGGGGTGTCGGCTATCACGTGGTATGGGTCAGATATGGGGCGATTGAAAAGCACGTGCCACGTGCAAACGTGTTTGATGGGGTAACCTCCGGGAAAATCCGACATTGGCCAACTGGGGGTCCTATGGCGTGGAAACCACTCCACCTAGCGGCACCAAATCAACGCAGCCGGTGAGCAGATGAGTCCAGCTTGTCGCACTAGTGGTCACGTGTCGCACGTGCTATTGCACGTGCCGTGGCACGGGGTCAATTTTTGTGCTTAAATATACTAGCATTGTGAAATGCAAGGAGTGGGGGAAATAGCCGTCAGGCCGTCAGTTTTTATGATAGGGTCGATCTGAAAACGGGTTTAGGCACAGAATGAAGGGGGCTAAAAAACTGCTATCTCGGATTTTTTGTAAAATGAAAAATTTAAAATTCTGGGGAAATTATATATTCGAAAGGTAAAATTTCCCTCAATTTTCCCGTTTTTCAAGTTTAGCCGTCCACTGTTCAGAGACGGTGACACCGGCCGGGATCATCTATTATATGCTAATGACCACGTCAATGGGTCATCACGTGGCGTGAACGGTGAAGCTATCAAAGGTCCGGCACGTGCCACGTGGCCACGTGTTTGAGTCGCGTACCTCCCAGATTATCGTGTGTTTGCCGATTTGTGGCCTTATAGCACGAAAACAGCACAAGCCAGGAACACTGAAATGGTGCAATCAGTGAGGGGACACGACCTGCTTGCACCACCGGTGGTCACGTGGCACGCGTGCAAATATGGGCACCTCCGTTGCGGAGATGTTTTATAGTGAAATATTCAAATGTACACAACTTTTTCAGTTTAAGTCCGATTGGGCTACAATTTGGTGGGTGGATGAATTGTTAAGCGACATGAACGAATGCGCCATGTTTGTTGCAGTGCGCCACGTTTGTCTCAAAGCGCCATTTTTGCCGCAAAGCGCAGAATGTGCGTAACTTTGTCGAACATTGGACGATTAGGATGCGCTGTAATTAAGGGATGGCTGCTTAAACGGCAGATATGATTGCACCACATTTGCCGCAGGGCGCCATATTTGTCTTAATGCGTCAGTATTAGCGTTTTTCTTATGGCGGGCGTTTTTTGCGGCGGTGTTTGCGTTTTTTTCGGGGTTTGCGTTTGACGGCGGGCGGCCGTTTATGCGTTTTTGCGGTGTTTGCGTTTGGCGGCGGGCGGCTGTTTTTTTGCGGCGTTTTGCGGTTGGCGGCGGGCGTGCGGGCGTTGCGGGTGTTTTTTTTGCGGCGGTGTTTGCGTTTTTTGCGGTTTTTGTGTTTTGCGGCGGGCGGGCGGGCGATGCGGGTGTTTTTGCTGTTTGCGTTTGGCGGCGGGCGGCCGTTTTAGCGGCGGTTTGCGGCGGGCGGCCGTTTTTTGCGGCGTTTTGCGGTTTGCGGCGGGCGGCCGTTTTTTGCGGCGTTTTGCGGTTTGCGGCGGGCGGCCGTTTTTTACGGCGTTTTGCGGTTGCCGGCGGCCGGCCGTTATTTGCGGTTAGCGGCGGGCGGTCGTTTTTTGCGGCGTTTAGCGGTTTGCGGCGGGCGGCCGTTTTTGCGGCGTTTTACGGTTCGCGGCGTGCGGCCGTTTTATTGCGGCGTTTCGCGGTTGGCGGCGGGCGATGCGGGCGTTTTTTGCGGCGGCGGTGTATCCGAAGGTTGGGACTTTTCAATTAAGAACAATCACTATTCTTTAGAATTGTGATTTTCTATTGAAAATCCCAACCTGAGCTACCTCTCTAGGGGGGTGTTTAGCGTTTCGGCCGCGATTTAGGACATCTTGATACCCTCGAAAACGGCTCGTTAGATTTTCTTGCCATTTTCAGCGTTTGGTCCCCTATGGGGGAGCTACCGGCTGGTACCGGTCGCTTGAAATATAATTAACCCGTTTTGGGGTAATCGGCACGTGCATTTTCCCATAGGGTTAACATGGGGAAAAATTGAAAATGCGATTTGCGCAAAATCTGTTCAGTAATATTTGTCCACATTTTTAGGGTCAGTTCTTGGGCTGGCACCTCACCTTCTGGGGGTAATTATTTAAAATATAAATGACAAAATTTCGGGTAATCGACGCCGACAGTTACCCCATGTTGAGCCTATGGCAATTTCAAAAAATTATTTTCAAATCGATTTTGTAAAAAATTTCCACGTTAGATTTTGAAAATGTTCCAATATGTTGTGCCCCGGGGTGTCGGCTACCACGTGGTATGGGTCATATATGGGGCGATTGAAAAGCACGTGCCACGTGCAAACGTGTTTGATGGGGTAACCCCAGGGAAAATCCGACATTGGCCAACTGGGGGTCCTATGGCGTGGAAACCACTCCACCTAGCGACACCAAATCAACGCAGCCGGTGAGCAGATGAGTCCAGCTTGTCGCACTAGTGGTCACGTGGCGCACGTGCTATTGCACGTGCCGTGGCAAAGGGTCAATTTTGGTGCTTAAATATACTAGCATTGTGAAATGCAGGGAATGGGGGAAATGGCCGTCAGGCCGTCAGTTTTTATGATAGGGTCGATCTGAAAACGGGCATAGACACAAAATGAAAGGGTCTAAGAAACTGCTATCTCGGATTTTTTGTAAAATGAAAAATTGAAAATTCTGGTGAAATTATATATTCGAAAGGTAAAATTTCCCTCAATTTTCCCCTTTTTCAAGTTTAGCCGTCCACTGTTCAGAGACGGTGACACCGGCCGGGGTCATCTTTTACATGCCGATGGCCACTTATATTGGTCATGACGTGGCGTGAGCCGTTAAGCTGTCAAAGGTCCGGCACGTGCCA